AAAACTTTTAGTGCTCAAACTAATACTTCAGATTATGAAATTGAAATAAAGATAGAGATATGTAAAATATTTTAATATCTATTGGATATGAGATTAGACTTTATGATTGATAATGCAATTGCTTTTTTTACTAATACATTTTTGCCTTAAATTTTAAAAAAATTTACACATTCAGAAAAATAACAATTACGTGATTCTTCTGAAAATAAATCTAATTTATAACATCATATAGTTTATTATAGATAGAAATATTTAACATCTTTATAAGGATTATTAAGAGAAGATCTTCTTAAACCAGGATAAAAGAAGTTTTAATAAAGAGGAATAAAAGATCATGTATAAATCAATAGAATAAGACATTTTGATAGAATTATTGATCGTCCATTTGTAGAAGTTTTATTAAAAGGATTTTATTTTGCAAATGATAATGTGTTATAAAATCATATTGTAGAATTAATTGAAAGATATTAAAATTAAAGATCTGAATTTTGTAATTACTTAAAATAAATATAAATGATAATGACAAATAATTTATAGATTATTTATAGAACTATGTACATTTTAGTTTAAAAGCTTAAAAATAATGTTTAGAATTCTTAAATTTGGTTGCGTTTAGATATTCCAATAGCATTAAATGAAAAAAATGAAGAAACAATTGAAAAAGTATTAGAGAAATTAGTTGAAATCTATACAATAATATCAAAAAATGAATCAAATGAAAAATCAGTAAGAAGAATATTCTTAAATTGTGGTGGATATTAAGTAGTTTATTAATTAATTGTAAAATGTTTATCTGTAATTGATGTAAATATGAATATTTTTGAATGCAGTTTTGAATTAACAGATTATGATGAATAGAAATAATATTAATAAGAATTGGTAGAGAAGATTCTATCAATATTTTAAGCATGTCTTAAATTAATAGGTTTATCTGTTAGAAATGATTAATAAAATTAAGAGTAATTTATATTATTATTATAGATATGTTCTAATAAAATTAGCAAGACCATTATTAAGATATAATATGGTTAATTTAGGTTAGATAGAATTAATAAATGAGTTATTTTCTAATAATCATAATTTATTACCTTTAGTTAATTCAAATGATTTGTATTAATTATTAGAATATGTTAAATTATATGGGAAATATTAATCATTTATAGAACTATTTACATCCATTGTTAGAAATAAATAATGTTAATCTCTCTATAAAGATATCTATTAAGCTTTAGTATAATGTGAATCAAAAGACATAAATGTAAATCTAATGGATAATAACATTTTAGCCATTCTAAGATAACTATAACTTTTAGAAATTCTATCCAAATTAACCTAATATTGAAGAATTTCGTTAGAGTTTTCTCAAAATAGTAGATGTGGTCTTAATAAATGATGATAGAGCAGCATTATCAGTAAAAATGTTGGAAGTACTTGATTTCACTGATTTGACATCATACTTTTTAGAAAAGACTTAGGAAATGAGAAATACAAACTTAGATTTAGAATTATAAGATAGCATAACAAAAGTATATTATATTTATATATAGATTAAATTTGTAATTTGTAGAATAATAATTACTTTATCAAAGAAGAAAAAGAAATTGTTATTAATTCATGAGAATTATTTTCTATAAATTATAAGTATTGAAGCATAATGGCTAGAATAATAAGAGTTTTTGTAAATATCTGCTAAGACTTATATTGTTGAGGGATTATTACCATTAATAAATACATATAATGAATATGCAAATAAAAAGAATTCTTTTAAAACAGACATAGCATAAATTAGAAGTTATGCTTTAAGTGTTTTAAAATAATATTCATAATTAACTAAAAATAGTGATACTTCAACTAAATATTAAGTTCATAGATTGGTAAAAGCATTTGATTTGAAACTTCCTGATGAAAGAAGTGAATCAGATTCAGATTAAGAAGGATTAATGAGTGATATAAATGGAGAGACATTTAAAACTGAAAAATTTGAAGAATATTAAATAACTGATGGTAGTGAAGGTTCAGATTAAGGTTGTAATGATTTAGAATTATGGGAATTCTTTAAGAAATTATTTGATAATAATCCAAAAATAAAAGAATTAACAGAAACTGATCAATTAGCATAATCAATTTGGCATGTAAGTGATATGTTTACTAGTGATTTTTGGGGAGATAAAGAAAAGAGACAATTAATTCTTACTAATAATGATATGTTACAAAAGATTTTAGCTTTTCTTTAATTTTGGAAATCAAATAAAGCATCAAAATAAAGTGCTATTTTTGCATTAAAATTATTAATACAAATAATAAAAATTGATTAAAATAGAATAAAAATACTTGATTAATTAGGAGGTACTAAAATAATTTTAACATTAATTTGGGAAGAGAATGAAAGTGAAAATGATTACATCATTTAATTATTGATTTTAATTAAAGAACTTATGTCTTGTAAGTAAGTATAAAAGACAACCTTAACATTTTTGAGTCTAGCTATTTCTAGTGACAAATTCTTTTAAAAGATGGAAATGCTTTTAACAATAGAATAAGATTTAAAAATATGTACTTTAGTGTTATAAATAATGGAATTGATGTGTAATGATAATAATAAAGAATTATAAAATTTGATTCGTTATTAAAAGAATAATAAAAAATCATATGATCTTGTTTAATAGACAATTAATTATTTATGTTCTTTAGATGTAAAAAATAATTATGACTAACTTATTTAATGCTTAAAAACTCTAAAATCTTAAGCATATGCATGTAGACCAAATTAAACATTAGTAGCTAATTCAAAATTTGTTGAATTCTCTATTAAAGTATTAAATGACTCATCTCTAAAATTATAATTAGATGATGTATAAATAATTTAATTAAAACATTAATGTTTAATTATTTTATTAGTAGTTGCTGAAATTAATACAAAAGATGATTATATTGTATAGAAATTAAAAAAAATAGTTCCTAAAACAGTGTTAATTTAACATTTTGTAAATGTTTATAGTCAAATGGTTAATTTATTTGGTGAAGATAATTATTCTAAATTAATATTTGTAAATCAACCCAATTTTATTATGGAAAGTGGATTTAATGCATATATTTTATATGTGATATTATCAGAATTAAATTATGTAGTTGAAGATTTGGAAGAATTTAAAAAAAATAATGATGAAGGATAATTAGTATAGGATTTTTTAAAGGATAATATATTAAATGAATTATCAAGATTAGGATAATCTTTAATGAAACATGGATTGGAATAATTAAATTAAATTAAATAATAATTTAGTGGATAAGTTGAAGAAAAGATGAATATAATTAAAAAACATGAAATGATGCATAAAGCTTTTCAATTTTATAAAATTAATACATTATAAGTTGAATTTGTAAAAGATGATGTACTTTACTTAACATATTTTCCTAAACAACCATGTTTCTACTTATTAAGATAAGAAATAAAAAAAAAATTCTTAGATCAAGCAGATAGAACAAGTACTAAAACTAAAATAATCAGTCTCGTTAACTTTGTAGATTCAGCCTATAAATTTATGTTGCATTAAGAAGCTCTTAGAGATTACTTTAAGAAACACAAGTTTTTAGAGATTCTGGCTAGAAGAGGTAAATTATGGATGTAACTTGCTTTCTATAATGGGTTCTTAATAAATTTAATAATAATTTTAAGTTATACACAATTAGCATTTCCACCTGGATATAAACCAACAGATTCTGATGTAATTTAATATTATAGATTAAATGAACCAAGATTTTTAGAAGATTATAATAACACAAATACTAAATATTATTTAATGATTTTGGCTTATTTGAATCTAGCTATAAAGTAATATATATTTATATTATATTAGTTTTATGGTTTTGTTTTTTTATCTCATTGACAAAGCCCCTGTTAAACTATAATTTGTTTGGAATGCTTGGCATGCATCTTCACTAATTGGACACATGATTTCTGGTTTAATTAAAGTGATTATCTCAATCATAGTTTTAGTCATTGATTTCGACATTATATACTATATTCTTTAGATAGCGTTTAATATTATTGGAATTACAATTCACCCATTTTTTTTGGCATTTCATTTAATTCATATTCTGTATTTGGAACCACTCATACCAATATTAAAAGCTGTTTGGTTGGCTAAATTTAAATTTATTGGATTATGGTTTACAATTGTACTTTTTGAATATTGGGTAGCCTTAATATCTTATGTTTATTTCTTTGAATTTTTCATTACTGATAAGAATCAAAATCTATGTAATCATTTATGGTAATGTGTTTATGTGACATTTGATTGGACATTTAAAACAGATGGATCTGTAGGAGGTAGATTCATGGAAAATATAGGAGAATAGGCTGAGGAAATGTATTTGAGCAATCTCAATAATTATTATGGTAGATTCTTCTATGATAATATTGTAAATATCATCATAAAATTATGTATCATAAATGTTCTATTGGCTGTTATTATTATTTCATACTCAGAGTTGAGATCAGTATAAAAATAGAAGGAGAAAGATTAAAATCATAAATGTTTCATTTGTGGTATAGATAGACTAGTTTTTGATAGAACTAGTCAAAACACAGGATTTTGGCATCACATTAAAGTTGAACACAATATTTGGAATTACTTATTTTATATGTGTTATTTGAGAATGAAATAATCAGATTTTAATAATGGAGTTGATAATTATATAAGAGCTAAACAATAAGCTTGTGATTATTCATGGTTTCCAATAAGAAGAGCTAAAGCACTATCACTTAAGTTATAACTACTTGAAAGTGTCAATCAAAAAGTAAATTATTATTTATTATTATTAGAATGCAACATCAAAGTCTAAACTAATTGGCTTATATCATTCCTTAAGAAGACTTGTTTGGATTCATAAATAATTCTGATATATTACTTAATATTTAAAACGTATCAATATTTAATATAAGTTATTTTTATATTCAAAAATCAATAAATATATAGGTTTTTATATTCAGTTTAAACATGATTTAATAAGAAAAGGTCTATAAAAATACAATTCAATTTATAGAAGTCATGGAAATATATAAGACAACAAATGCCTACATATAATATATCTAAAGGAAATCTGAGTATGATTAGTGCATTGAAAACAGAGAAAACTAAAAATTTAATAAGACAATGTATATAATATTATTAATCCAGAAACTACTGAAAGTGACTGGTTTTAATTAAAAATTACAATAATAAATAGGAGTTGAAAATTAGATTTGGGATTATTTAAAATCTAGTCTTGGAAGATAACGATGAATCATAATTAAAAACATTTTTCATTCTTTCATAATTCCAAGTATGGTTTAATTTATTGAATTAAATTAATTAATTTTTAGAATTAGAATAGAATATTTAGCAGAATTGTGATGGTATATTGAAAATAATTAAATTTCTCCTTTTGAAGACAATTACTATAGAGCTCATAATAGTATAATTTCATAGAGTCAACAATTAAAAGGCTAAATTCTATTTCTATTATCCTAATAATATTAAATATTTCAATTATTGAATATTCTCTTCTTTTGCTCTTTCTGGAGGTGATATAGTAATATAAATCTTTCATAATTTAGAATATGATAATGATTTTTTTATATTTTATTTTAAAACAGTTCGGTGTCCATTTATTCTAACATAACATGATATATCCTTATGTTTTAATGTTCAAAGGTATAAATATTCATTCAATTTATTTAGAGTTGGAGGATTATATGAGAAATCAGTCTTTCTCTGTTAATAAGGTAAGAAAACCTATAATTTCTAAATACTTATTAGAATACTAATCTATTATATTTTGTTATTGATGATGATAATGAATATGTTAGAGGACTCTTATAAATTATAGACTTGGATTCTTGAGTTAATAACAAATTTAGTTGAATTATCTTATGAATTTTCTTTTTTCTTTTTTTAACTTATATATTAAGTAAAAAAAAAAGAAAAAAGAAATTCTCATATTTTATTTATATTTTATGCAATAAAAACTTTCGAGAGCTTAATTGATTGGTCATTATAGGTAAAAGCCTATTGAATAAATGCCTGAATCTTTTAAAGCATTATGCCAATAGTATCCATAAGCTTTTAAAGCTCTAAGCCAAACTCCATATTAGACTAGACCGATACGTGGTTTCAATTAAGGTTAGTTTAATAAATTAAATTAGAAATTCTTGTATATTCAAGTAATTGTGCTACTCCTCTCAAAACAGCTGGTGTGTATTAAAGTGGAGGAGGAGATTTATTTCGATTTGATGAATAATAAATCCTCACTCCATAACCAAAATAATCGAATACTTTTGATTGGAGTTAGTAATAATTACAAAGCATCAAAAAAGAAATAGTATTTAGTAGGAGTATTCCTGGATAAGTTAATTATTTACTATAAAAAATATGGTATTATGTGGATGATTACTTAAAAGTTTAGGGTATTATTTTTGATGTACATTAGGTCCTTTCAGTTCAATATAAATGGACAATTGGTATCTAAAAGGTTATTTTGATGACATTTTAAGAATAGGGTTTAAGCCTGAAAATTCGGAGAGCTTTATTAGAATTTATTAATTGAAAACTTAAAAATAATCCAAAAAGGTTTTAAAACTATTAAGAAGAGGATCTTGTCCACCTTCTATAACTGCATCACAAGAAGCAACTATTTAATTAAAACCGACAGTCTAATAATAATAACAATAATAAAAATAAGATATTCAATAATAAATTGATACGCAAAATATAGACAATGCCCCTACTATAAGAGTACCTACTTTAAGAAAAAAAAAATGAATTGTAAAGTTAGTATTTAGTTTAAAATAAATAAGTTTTAATTCATATTTTTAATTATGAAATTTATAAATATTTTTAATTAATGAAATTAGTAATTTTAGTGATTGATGTAAAATATGTATCAAAGTATATTAAGGTAAAAGTGAATTATAATTTTATTATAAGAATATGAAATACATTACTTTATGATAATCTGTTCTAATAATAATAATTTATACATTAACTTCTTTGTAAGAAATTGTATTTAAATCATTTTGATATAATTTATTTAAATATATTTAGGATATATACATCAGAAAGAATAAATATGAATCAATAGATTATAAATGATAATTTAGACTTTAATTAAGGATATTATCAATAATTTTACTGATGTATACCTTAAATTCTGTTTAATATAAATTACAATAAATATTTGATATGTTTTTAAATGATTATACATTTATAATTTCTATATTTGATAAATCTAGCTTTTAATTTACATCTATGATTTTAATTTATTAACATATTTTATATTATTATATAAATTTTAAATAATGTATTAATATTAGACATCATAATAGAAATAATAATTTTGTACTTATAAGAGAATTCAAGTTTTTATTTTTCATAAAATGTATAAAGTATCTTATAATATAAGTGAACACTAAAAGTTAACTCTTTTGTTATTAAGTTTATTTCAAAAGTAATTTGATTATTATTCCATTATTAATATTAATTCTCACGATGAATTTCAGGTAAGAATATAGATGATTAATTATAGTGCTTAATTTTGGAGTCAATTTGGTATGCTTATGAAGGAGAATGGATTTGATCGTCATTTTGATAACCCAGACTTATAATTGACTACTTTATTGGATGATGATTTAATAATAGGTGAATTCAGAAATCAAAATTAGAAATTAATGGACTAGTAATATATTGAATAATATGTAGTATGCAAACTAAACAAGTAGCTGAGTTAGTCAGTTATTTAACTGAGATGCCAGTAGATGATTCAAATTCAAAAAGAGCTTTTAGATATCCATTTTATTCATGTGAATTATTAGTGTGTTGTGAAAATCCTAAAATTTTAGAATAATTCTTTGGAGAAGATAAGTATTAAAAATAAAATATATGAATAGATCCTTATTGCATAAATTATTTTAATTTTTTGTTTCAGATGAAGATGTAAATCCTGTATTAGCAGGATATGTATGTAATGTATTATTTAATTTGTTGAAAATGAGAACTGATATCTTTCTTGTTGAATTTTATCAATATTAAAATTTAGTAGATGGATTAATCAAACAATTATAATCTCGTTCAGTTTCAGAATTTGTAATTCGTTTATTAACAATTGAATAAGAAACATAAATTGATTATACACCTTAAAGACTTCATTTACTCAAAGGAGTAGTTAATAGAATTGTAGACTCTTCAAATTTTGAAGTAAATCATAATTAATATATAATTAGGTATCAACAAATGTATCTCATATTATTCAAGAAATTACTTTAAAGGCATATGTAATTTTCAAAGTATAACCTCTCTTTGAATTATTATATGGAGAATCAATAGATCAATTCTGTTAATCAATAGTTCATGAAAGCAATTTTGTCTCTCTTGCTTCAGGAACAGCATTATATAATCTACTCACATTACTTTATAAAATAACAAATAGGTAAGGTGATCCAGCTGAAAGTGCAATATTTAATGTGAATTAAGAGGAAATATTCAATAAAATAGAATCTCATCTATATAAATGGTTAGAGTTTTTATAAAAATCAGAAACATGTACTTTTGGGTAACATAAGATAAAAATTCTTGAAATTATTGGAGTATGCATAAGTTTAAATTAAGAATCTTTTATTACTAAATTATAAGAATTGGATATTTTTAAAGTTTATAATTCATTATTTATCAAATATGAAAAACATGATATATTACATCTATAATATTATAGATTTTTAGTACATATAATTGAATAAAAAATGGATAGTTTGGTTTAGAGTGTAATTAATATATTATATATTATTTAGTTATTCAATCAAAATGAGTTTATATAATTCTTATTAAAATGTACTTAAGAAGTGAAAAATAATAAGAATTAGAGAAAGGAATATTTAGGTTTTGTGACAAAATTGGCTCATTTTTTAGAGGAGTTTTCATAAAAATATCCATTATTGTAATCAGAATTAGAGAATGAATAATGGAAAAAATTTAAGGATTAATATTTTGATAAGGCTGAGAAATTGAATAATCATGAATTAGGTGGTCATACACGTACTGATTATAATGAAGATGTTGATTTTAATAAAGAGGAAATCTAAATTAAATATGATCATTTTTTGAAATCTAATAATGATGAGAAAATGTAAGATGAAAATGAAACAAATAATCAAAATTAATAAAATATTTTTGATTCTTTCAATATAAATAGTAATGATTAATAATAGAATGTTAATGATGGATAATAATAATAAGAATGGGGTAATTTCTCATGGGGTGAAGCTCAAAGTTATTCCTAATAAGATGGAGAGATTAAGAATAGTGATATTGATTAATCTTTAAATTAATAGAAAACTATAGTTTAACATGATTATGCAAAAGAGGAGAAGGATGATGAATATTTTCGATTTTGGTAATTATAAATTCATGATCATGATGTATATTATATTTAATTATTATTATAGAGTAAAATACATGATGATGCTTTGTATGAGTTTGAAAAAAATTTATGATTATTTTGATCATTTTTTAATATTATAATGTTTTATAGATTGTTTGTTTTTCAAATAATGAAATAATGTTATTAAAGCAATATATTTAATGAAAAAAATAACTTAATCATTATTTTGGTTTTACTTTTGTTTAGATTTAGTAGAATCAATTTAATCTTATGCAGATGTGAATCCTCTAAATTTTATAAATGAATAATTCAAGCCAAGTACTTAAGATGAAACAAATTAAACAATAAAAGGAGCAAATTAATATATTACTAAATATACTTTAAATGCATTTACATTGACAGAATTAATAATAGATTTGAGACATTTAGAAAAGTATTAAGATGATGAAGGAATCTCTTAATTTAATTATACTTAAGATGATTGGAATATAAATATAAATTTAGATGATAAAACAATATAATTGCCTGAAATATTTGAATAAAGTGATGTAGAGAAAGTAAGTGATTTTAAATTTATAATCTTTGCATATAAAACAATAACATTTTAGATTTTATTTCAGATCAATTCTTAAGAATTTTATGCTTAAAAATATCAATTTATGAACACTACCAAAATTTAAAATATGGCACCATCAACAGCTTTAGTAAATACAAATAGTATTTTTGTATTTAGATTATCAAAAACAGATTAAATAGCCTTACCTGCAAACATTTTACCATTAAATTCATTTGATTACTAAGATCATATTATATCCTATTCATCTAATAATTTTTTTAAATAGAATTCTTATACAACCTATTCACCATAATCAAAATATTGGGGAGATAGAAATAATTTAGTCATTCCTTATATTCCCTTCTTTTCAAATTGTTAAGGATTTGGTTAATATATTTATTTTTACTAATTGATTTAACATTTAAATTGTACACTTTATAATGAGAATGAAACAGAAGCAATTAATCCATTTTAATTTAGTATGAGTCCTAAAAGTGATGAATGTAATGATTTAACATTATATTGCATAATGGATGAAAAATATAATATTAATCCTAGATTACCTAGATGGTTTGAATTAAATGGATAAGAAACATTATTTTTTATTTAAGCAGATCCATTAGATCCAAAAGATTTCAATTCAAATTATGAAGTATCTTCTAGTAAAGTTGTTGAAATTCAAACAGTTAATTCTATTCCAAGTGGAATGATGCCATTAGAAGTGAATTTGGATGTACATTATTATTAAGTTACTAAAACTCAAAAGAGGATAATTACAGGATCAGTAACATTTACAAATTTTTATAAATTGAGTGAAGATTAAAAGGCTGGAAAGGCAGAAATAACATATAATCTAATATTCAATTTTATATCAATGACTTAAGGATAATTAGTTAATAATTTTGCACTTGAATGGCCAGTTTATTTCATTTTGTACATGATAATAGGAGCAATATTAACAATGGAAGTAGCTATTTTTCTATTTTATCATTATATTACAAATAGAAAGAGACCAAGACCTAAAATTAATCTATTAATATATATTAGAATATTTTGGATAAGTAGTTTATATGGTATATGTTTGGCATTTGTTCCTGCTTTGACAGTTTATATTTTGATATCAATAATAATGGCAGGAAAGATATGGAATACTGATTTAAGTTTAAGTTGTAATATGACACCATATTCTGAATCTGATGATGGATGTGCAGTAGTTTTTTTTGATTTATTCAAAAATCAATAGAAATATACAAGTGATTAATTTGGATTACTTAGAAATGCTAGAAGTGGAATTGCAATGATAACAGTTGGATTATATATTGTTTATTTCATTAGTGGTATTTATATTCCAGAAATTGATCCTGAAGAAGATTATAATGGAAATGTTAAGAATGTAAGATTATGGAAACGTAGTCGTATTTTATATTGTCTTGCCTTTATTACAACCATTATACTAATAATGACTTAATTTTCTTATTCTGATCTCTTTGCCAAAAATGCCTATATGTTTCTAATATTTCTAAAAATTATATAAATGATTTTAGAATATATTTTAGAAGTTTATTTTGACAACAATTTAATTTCAAGTCCAATTGGTGTTATATTTAGTACTTATATTAATGTGGCTACAATGGGTAATCCAACATTTTATGATTTCTTATTATCTACTATTGTAGATAAAGGTATAGAAATGGTTGAAAGAGCTTATGTAATTAAGATTTAGGATATTGTAACTGAAGAATTAGAGTAATAATTTGATAAAGTGTATAAAATGTTAAAAAGATTATTAGATGAAGAAGAAGAAGATTTTGAATTAGAAGATGAAAAATTAGTGGAAATGTAAAAAGTACTTAAAACTAATGAAGATGATTCTGATTCAGATATTGTATTTTCAGATGATGGAAAAGAAAATTTAGCTTCAGATGATGAATCATTTGTTAGTAATAAGATTTCATCAAATAATCATGAAAATTCATTCACTAAAGATGATTATGATGAATTTGAAAATAAATTTAGAACTTTTTTACTTGATTAACATCATAAAACATTCTAATAATATAATGAAGATTAAGGTACTCATTAAGAATTAGCAGTTGATAATGAAGATCAAACAGATTTAATAGATTATTTCTCTAATTTTGCTAATGATATTATTACTTTAGTATTCAATCCATTTATAACTACAATTATGTGGTTTTTTTATGATGAATCTAATTTATTAGCTGATTATTAAATTAATAAGAGTGAATTCATATATTATTTTTTATGGACAATCATTTTAATTCCATTTTAAATGATGATTGATACTTTTGGTTATAATCTAGTTGAATAATATCATGAATTAGATTTTCTAACTTATATAACTAATACAAGAGAAAGATTCAGAAATAGAAATCTATTTTGGAAAGCTAATGAATTTTAAAATGATTTAAATTGTGAAACTTGTTTTCGTTCTCTTGATTGTAATAATATAATCATATATAATAGAATGGTGTTATTCATCTTAATTTTATTTTATAACTACTTTATAAGTTTGTGCTATCTAAATGATCATATTTGGTTCTCACATCATCTATGTCAATTAATATAATATATTTAATGATGAAGGTATATATATTATTTAATTAACATATAGCTCTAATTTTTATTATATTCTTTTGGGTTGTTGTAGCATTCTTTTTACATCATCTATTTATTGAAATAGGAAAAAGATTAAAAATATGGGATATTTCCAGTAGAGTATCACCTCAAGATGAATAAGTAATGTCTTCAATTGGTGATATTGATAAATTATCAACTAGTCAAATTCCTTCAGGACCTAAACTTCTTATACCAAATTGGAATCAAGCAATAGAGTTTAGAGAATAAACTGAACGATTATCAGAAATCAATAATAATTTCTAAGATTTTACAAATGATCATTTCAAAAAGTTATTTATAACTTCTAATAAATAATGGTTAGCAGATAATATTTAAATAATGTATCAAATATATATATATATTTATAGATTAAGTCCAAAAACATTAAAATCAAAAAGAAAAATAATTTTAGATAAATTTAATGCTATTTATGGTCCTTTAGAAAAAAAGAATGAAGAAGATCCTGTTGCTGGATTTGATAATGCTTGGAATTTTAGATAATTTACTAAAAATTCTTCAAGAACAGAAATGGCTCGCACTTCTCCATAAAAATTCAATAAAAGAATTGATAATATGAGTGAAGCAACAAAAACTATTTTGAAATATTGGTTGTATCGTTCTAGACATATGAAAACAGCAATTAAATATATAGGAGGATTACTTGAAAAAATAACTAAACCATTTTGTGAATATTGTGGTTTGAATTGGGGATTAGGAGTAGATACTGAAACTAGAATTGAAGATATCTATTTAAGATTCTTAAAATAGAAAGGATTAAAGGGTATATCATTAAATATGGGTACTGAAATAGATGATTGGTAGAATTTCTTCCCAAAATAATGTAAATTTAGAACCACTTGTTTCATTTGCAATGGTATCTTAAGATATTTATTATTTTAGTATTTATGGTAGAAGAGATGTAGAAAGATAAAGTTAAATCATAAGGTGAATAGAAATTAGTAGTATAGAAGAAAAAGAATAAGTATACGTTAAAGAAAGTAGCAAATCTTATTCTAATCATGATAAAATTCATAGACATAGCTTAGAAGTTAGCTTTTTAGAATTAATGATGTTTATTAAAGAATTTATCACTGCCCCTTAAAATAAATTTTAAAATCTTTTTAAAAATGGGTAAAAGAATCAGAGCACAAAGAAAGGGCAAATCAAACAGTGTATTCAAAGCACATCAAAATTAAAGAATCGGATCTCCTTAATACAGACATCTTGATTATGCTGAAAGACATGGCTATGTCAGAGGTGTGATTACTGCAATTCGTCATGATCCAGGAAGAGGAGCTCCACTTGCTGAAGTCGAATTCAAGGACCCATATAAGTACTCAAAAGTCACTAAGCTCTTCATTGCTCCTGAAGGATCATATACTGGCTAATACATTTATTGCGGAGCTAAAGGTAAAAATTTAGATTTTAAATCTTAGCTTAATTGGCAACAGGAAATGTTCTTCCTATTGGATAAATCCCAGAGGGTACAGTAGTTTGCAATTTGGAGGAACATCCAGGAGATAAAGGAGCATTGGGAAGAGCAACTGGTTGTTATGCCACTATTATTGGTCATTCAGATGATGGAACAACCACAAGAGTTAGATTACCATCAGGTACCAGAAAAACACTTAGTGCTCTTTGCAGAGCCACAGTAGGTAATATATTTAAATTTATTTTAGGATTGATTGCTGGAGGAGGAAGAACTGAAAAACCAATTCTTAAGGCAGGAAGATAATTCCACAAATATAGAAGACTTAGAAAATGCTGGCCAAAAGTTAGAGGTGTGGCTATGAATCCAGTCGATCATCCTCATGGTGGTGGTAATTAATAACATATTGGTCATCCATCCACACTTTCAAGATATGCTCCCCCTGGTCAAAAAGTCGGTCTTGTTGCTGCCAGAAGATCAGGTCTTCTCAGAGGTGGTGCCTAACTTAAATAAATGGACGAAGATTTGGCAGCACAATAAGCTAAAAAATGATATTGATTATCTATAATCGTACAATAAAATTTATGAATTATAATCTCAAAACTTTCGATACCATAAAATGGTTAAGAAATCGTTACAAATCTAGAGTAAAAGATTAATACATTCTTTATGAATCAGAACTCAAAGAATAAAATATGATGAAAGCAGTATTTAATTCTATAGACAGAGATAAATCAAGTATAAATTATCGTTTAAATCTAATTAGAATTTCTAGATAGATCTGAATTATATGATATGTTTATTAAATATGGAATAAACATCACCAAATCTAAACTTAAAGAATTCTTTAAAAGCATTGATGAAGATGAAGATGGTATATAATATAAAAAAACTTTTAGATAAATTGAATTGGACAGATTTTAAACAAGCCCTATAAAATCAAGAAGCTTTAAGAAGTATCATTTTATTTCATAATCCTTTAGTGTTTGTTTAATTAATGAAGAAAATAAGAGAAGATTATGAAATCAATCAAACTGATCCATCTAAATAATTAACTTTTGTTCCTTTAAGTTTTCCTTAAATGATACAATATATGAATTATTGTGTTTTGAGAGAAGAAATTATTGATAAGATAGAATCTGATAATATAAACAATTATTAGAAGCATAAATAATGTGTAAATCTTCTTACTTTAGAAGATAATTGTTACAGAAATATTAAGTAAGATCTTAAAGAAGAAGAAAATGATGAAGAAGATGAAATTAAAAATCTTTAGAAAATTGATCATTCGTAATTGTTATAAATGAAAAGATTTCAAGAAAGAGAACTCAAATTTAAAAGATTAGTAATACATATATCTATTTATAGGAAAAAGTCAAAGATATAAGCAAAAAAAATTTTTATACAAATCCAACTTAAGACTTAAATGTAACTGACAATGTAAGATTGTAAATATTATAGATTTATATATAGATCAGATATTACAGATATAAAAGTCAATCTCACATAGGAAATTAATAAAACAAGAGAAAATATTGATAAATTTTTAGCAATTCTTAATAATGAAAAATTGAAATTACAAAAATCAAGGTAAGCATCTCGAGTCTCTTCTCGATAAAAATCAAGAGAAAAGAAAAATGGAATTTTTAAGAAAAATACAATCCTTGTTGAAGCAGAAAAAGAATTACTTAATTCATCAGCTCCAGAAAAAAATAAATTTAAACAACTAAATTCGGGATCTCTTCATAAAAATAAAGTATTTATTATTCATAAATTATATAAAGTATCCAAGAGAAAGGATATTATCATTAAGTATGAAATATAAATGAAACAACTATTTGTAAATTATTCTAATTGTAATCATATTCCAAAAAAAAATTGTATATTAATATTTTTATTCATTCATTTAAATTCAATCAAATGGATATTTAACATTATTACTTTAGATCCATTAAAAAGATAAGTTAAATTAAAAAATGTCTTTGCTCAATTATTATATAGAGAGTTTACATTTATCATGTATAAGGATGTTGCTTTAGAAACTTAATTATCTAAAATATTGATTCAATAATATATCAAATTAATTATTTCAAATTTTCAATTTACTTTACATGATCATCCAATATTTATGTATATTCATCATTTTTTTTACAATTTTATAATGCTTTTTTCAATTATTGTGCATAAGATTAACTCATTTTTATAGCATTTTATTCCAAGTATAATTTTAGCCATTCATCAAATTCATTACTCCATGCATCTAAGTCTAATATATTACATTACTTTTTTCAAAGACTTTTGTTAAAAATTTAATAAATAATTCATTAGAACAATTAAAGCCATATTTAGCTCTATCATCAAATTCATTCTATAGTCGTTTGATAATATCATTCTAATCAATCTGTATAAAATTGTAATCCATAATTGCTAATAACTATTTATATGATTGAATTAAAGTAAAGTTTTTTTGAATTATTCTTTTAAGTTCATTATCTCCAGAAGGATTATAATAAATATCTGCCATTATTGATTTTTCACTTCTATATCTTGTTCTATTAAATTATCTCAATAAAGTTAGAAATAGTTTATTATTCATGAATAAAAATTTTAACTTTATAAAATACAATTTGTATTGAATTTGATAAATTTACTATTAGTATTATTTTTTTAATTAAAATAAGATGAAAACTTTTATGATATGTGTCATTTATACATTAAACATATATATCTTACTCAATTAAATATATCAAACTTATTTATTATTTTCTAAATTATGTACTTTATTTCTCATTTTTCTTTATATTAAATTGAACTTCTTTTTATTTATTATTTCATAGATTATTAGTCTTAAAGAAATCTCCAATTTACCATAGAAATATTTCTTCAATTACCAATTGATTATTGTAATTAAATTTAAAATTGAAAAATAATATTTTTTGAGTTCATTTGTATGTAATATATTTTGTGATTATGAATTTAGAGTATATTTTAGGTATATAAATTATTTAGGAATAATCTCAATTAATCATTAATTATTCCAAATCATTAAATGTCAGGAAAAGCAATCATCTAAAAAGCTGCCCCATTCTTTAAAACAAATGCTTGGTATTATCTATTGATCTATTCTTAAGGAATTCAACTAAAAATGCTATTGAATAAGTTCAATTGACTGATTTCAAAGGCAAGTATTTATTGCTTTTCTTCTACCCATTGAATTTCACTTTTGTGTGCCCCACAGAAATCATCTAATTCTCTAAATTAGCTAAATAATTCAGAGAAAACAACTGTGAAGTCCTCGGATGTTCAGTTGATTCTGTTTATTCACATGCTGAATATGTGAAAAAGCCAAAAGCAGATGGAGGATTAGGAGGATTGGATATTCTCCTTTTATCTGATTTGACCAAACAAATCTCATCAGATTATGGAGTTCTTACAGATAGTGGACTTTCATTAAGAGGAACATTCTTAATTGATGGTAATTAAAATTTACGTCATGCTTCAATTAATGATGCTCCAGTTGGAAGGTATTATAAATCTCTAATTTTAGAAATGTAGATGAATATCTAAGATTATTGTAAGCATTCCAATTCGTCGAAAAACATGGAGAAGTTTGTCCAGCTTCATGGAAACCAGGATAAGCCACCATTAAACCAGATATTGAAAAATCAAAAACCTATTGGTAAAATACACATGCCAAAAATTGAGATGAGTCCCTTTATATATAAAATATAAATAAAAAATATATCTTTAAGAATTATATTATTAATTCTTTATTACTGTTATTTATATTTTGTAAAATATATATTATTTTCTCATTTAGGATACTATATTTGTGAAAAATAAAGAGATCTAATTTTCTGCTTTTAATATGTATTTAATGTACTTTAAACCATTATAATATCAAATTAAATCCCTAATATATACTTGTTCTACTGATTTTAAAAAATTGATTACATTCGTTATAGACAAACTATTTATAAAGTTATTATGAAATGTTTTATTGCTGAAATGAAATCCTAAAATAAAAATATCATAATTATTGATGAATCATAGTATACACATAAATATGTAGCTTCTTTTTCAACTACTAAATTAGAATCAATGAAGAAGGGATTGATTTAGTATCTTATGAAATATCACTCAAATAATATATTTAGTGATAAAATCTTTTTACTTATTTAATATATTTAAGCATTAAAAATAAAATCTTGATGATCTTAATAAATAAATGTAAATAATTAATAGTTCTAAATTAAAAGTATTTTAGATTTCCATATTATTTTCATTAATATTTTGTCTAAATTCATATTATTGTTGTGGTTCTTTCATTAAGTATCAAATAAACTAGATAGTAATAAAGTTAAAATTTAATAACGTTTACTCTAGAATTGGATATAGATTATTAACCTCATCCTAATTATTATTTTTATTATATTTAAGCTTTAAAATAACATATAACAACGATTAATTTAATATCTTCTCGAAATAATCTTAAAATTTACATAATATATAATATATGATGATTATTATTGTATTCTTAAGTGTATTTAAATGAACTTATCATATAATAATGTAATTCAATAAAAATTTTTATTTGAATCTTAGAATTCTTACAAAAGTATATATAGAATTTCTGATAGAATCAAAAGAATTTAGTATTTTTAAAATTATCTATTTTTATTGAATAATTTAAATTTAATACGCTAATTGACGTAATATATTGAGCTTTACTAACATAATCATATTAAATCTGATTTGATATCTCAAATTTCTTTCATATTTTATTGAAGTTAATTTGAGAATAATGATTAAAATTATGGAAATTTAATATAGAACAAGTTTGGAAATCATTCTGAGACTCTATGAAGAATAAATCATCAATACAAATGAAAAAAGGTTTTTAAAAGACTACGTACTAAATTAAATTGAAGTACTAAATTTGAAAAGCAAACATGAGATTGAATGCTTGCTTCAGTTTAGATTAAAAATTTTTAGAAAAAAATTCACTTATAAATTATTGTCTTCAGAAAGTCTACATTCTATCAATGAAGAAACAGATAATGATGAAGATTGATGTTATATTCTTAATCTTACTTAAACAATTTAATTATATTATGAATTCAATTGGAAGTAAGAATAAGAAAAATTTTAATTTTTAACAAATTAGCTTAAATAAAACATTTATGAAGACCCACTTTTATAATAAAAAATGATTGCATTTAATAATTTATTTTATATAAATTTTATTAATTATAAAAAAATATAAAAAAATTAATTTGAACTCTTTCCTATTAAAATTGTTTAATATATTTTGAAATCTAAATTTCATTGCTTAAAATATTTGTTTATACATTTGAGAATTCCTCATTTTTTATAGATTTTCTATTTCTAATAACTTAATCAAAAATTATTATGAATATATTAAATAATTTGCTAAGTAAAAATAAAATTAAATCTAATAATTACATTTCTACTTTATCATCACATCTCTTTGAATAATCTTATTTAAATTTCTTATGATTTAGAATCCCAAGTTACTAATATATCACCATTTTCACTAAGTCCTCCATATAATCCACCATTAAATTCATTTGAATTAAACTCTAAACACTATTCTATTATGCAATTACAATCTTGCTAATATAATTATGATTCAAAAAAAATAAATTTAATTAAATTTAATGTGTCACCATGTTTCATTAATAACAACTATCTATCTGGGAGATACCTTGCTGGAAATGATGTTTAACAATTATATTAGCTTTTCTTATATCTTAAATATCTAGCATGCTAATAATTTCCTGTGTTCACATTTTTTATAAATATTTGGAGACTATTAGACATACAGGGTTAAAAAACAAAAATGTTGTTTGTAATGAAATTTATTCTATATCCATAACTATTAGTTCCTATCGTTTATATGACCTTCCAAAATGATTTATTAGAACCCTACATTATGAAAATTAATCCATGACCTTAGCAAGAAATTAATTTGTTTCCTTCCTGATTTAATGATAATCCATAAATTTCATATTTATGCTATGTTATTGTTTATTTTAAAAACCAATTAAAAGGTAATGATGGAGTTGAGAGTGACCAAAACTTTAAAGTTGTATCTTTTGATCCACTTATAATTAAATCTTCTTATAGAGGATGTAATATGATACAATTTATCCAACTCTTATGATCTTTTAATTTAAAAATGAATTTTGGATTATTCATAAGATTTAATGTCCAAATAAATATGGAACAATCTTAAGAACTGATTATGAATGGTTTGTTCTTCATAAATGTTATTGTTGAAATATAAGAAGAATTGCCACAAAAACTTTATATATATTTTATTGATCCATTTTTAAATTGTATTAATTTGATTTTAGACATTGCAGATATTGCTAATAAAGAATTATCTTTATTGAAAGCTGAAGCTAGACTTCTTTCTTTTTATTTTAATGATATTTCTGGATTATGTTGGTAAGCATAATATTTAGGTTTTTGTACGTTATTTATTATTTTTTGTTGTTTTTTCATATATTTTATAAATTAAATTAAAAATATAAAATTTAATCAAAATTTATATTTTTTATATCTTCTCAATTTTTATTTTAGTTGTTTAATTTCATTTTATTAATAAATATTACTTTATTAAAAATGATGATAAATATACACTTTCAAGAAAGATGATTAAATATTGATTCTATAATTCATAATTTTATAATATAAAAGATGTGTAAACAAATAATAAAATATTCTATTAATTATATATAGTCAGTTTTCCTTATATTTTCTAATTTATAATTCTTTTGAATTAAAATCCCAACTAATCAAATATTCTCCATCATCACTTAATTAACCATAAATATTATAATGACCAAATTAAATATTTTATACATTTATAAATTCTCCATTGTTTAACTTTCTTAACAAATTAATATTATTACCATTCTTATTCAGCAAGATAGATTTAGATTTTATGTATTTTTATGGAAACAAATTATCACAACAATTTGAATCACATTTTATATTAATTTCTTTAGTTTTAACAAATTATTTATTAGTACTGTTTAATTCATAAATATACATTTATTCTTTACATTTAGGTTAGAAAGTGAATAAATTCTCATTTATAAAACTTAATCGATACCCATAATAATCTACTTATATCCTTTATCTCAAAACCCAAATATTTTCCATTTATTAAAATTCAATAATTAATATTTCTGAATCAGTTGAACAAGCAATCAATTTATCCTCCTATTCATTTAAACTTAATGACCATAATGAACTAGTGTAATTTTTAAAGGTTTATTAACATTACCATTCCTCTTATTTATTCCAGAATTTAATTGAATTATCAAAACTACTTGAGATAATAAGATTTTCATTATTATTTATCAATAAACACACAATACTATGAGAATGTCCATACAATTTTTATTAACAAGTCCATAAATTGTTTTCATTCATCTACCATATAATAATTAACTTATCATGACTTCCAGATACAAAATGATTTGATTTCTACATGAAATTTAATGTATATACAATAGTTGTATGTTCACTTAATAATTATATTTCATTTAAATTCCCTTATTGATTTTCAAAAACTTTAATTAAATTATCATATCCTGTTAAAACAATTGAGTTATCTTTATTAATCGCAATTGCATAACAACCTTTTTCCTACTTGATTGAATTTTAATTAATGAGTTCATATTAGAATGAATTTAAATTATTATTTTCTAATGGAATTGGATCATTTTATTTTTCTAAGTTCAATTTACAAGAATTTTGCATCTATACATTATCATTTTACTCAACATTTGTTTGATTCTTAATTTTTTCTATTATTTTATTTACAGTCATTTTGATTTATTCAATTGATTATTATAATTATTATAGTAACATCTTCTCACAAGATTCAATTTCACATAAACCTTTAATCAAATAGTCAAACTAAGAAAGTCCTATTTAGGATAACTATTCAATATTAAAATTCATATATGGAATTAATGTATTTTTAAGATTATCAAGTGATTTTTTGCATTCCTAAACATTTTGCTATACATTCTGAATAATAAGGACTCGTTGATATATCCAGTCATTTAATTATTCTAATGATGCTAACTTGTTAAGATGTTGACTATGATTAGGTAAACAAAAATGACAATAAGGTCTTTAATGTTGACATATACTCTCGATACAAATACCCAATATTTGATAATTGAGATGATCAACTTTAGTACATCTAATCTACATATATCAAATGTAATAAAAATTATATTTAAATATTAAATAATTTTTTTAATATAATTATATATAACCAAAACCATAAAGAAAATTTTTAAAATTATCAGAAAAAAGAACAGAATTTTATTAAAACATAAACTATCAAGTGGTTGTAAGTAATCTATGTAGAGTATATATACCAAAATTTAAAGAAAATATCATAGTTTAAATTTTAATAGTTAAACATTTAATTGAATAATCTACCAAAAAATAAATTATATCTTCTTAAAATATATATCATATATAATTTTAAGGGCAGAGTATAATGATTGCAATATGATTATTTGTAGTAAATAAAATAAATGAGGAGCACAATAAATATTATATTTCTTATTTAATTTACAGAGAATTAGATAATTATTTTATACATACAGTGAATAAAAAATTATATAATTCTGGTTTAAGAAATTAGTTTAAATTATATAATGATTATTCTCTAACTTGTTTTTGGAAGTATTCTCAATAATATCTTTAAAAAGATAAACTAGAATTACTTAAGTAATGATATTATTAAGAATAGTTAGTCAAAATCTTTATAAAATCAAAATAAATTATAGATTTTTTTCCTAAAAATGAATAGATGTTTGTTTATTTGATTGAATTCTTGGAATAATTGTTATAAATATTAGGAGACATTAGCTCAATAATATTATCTATTTTTTACCTGTTTATAATTTTTAGAATATATTCTGAATAAGGTTGGATACTAAGAATCAGATAGAATATAAAATTATTATATAAAAATCTTAATTAATATAATAATACTAATAAATTTTATAAGATAATGGGTTGTTGCTGTTAAAAATAAGGCTAAAAGGGAAAGAATAATATTCCCATTTAATAAACTCCAATAATAGTCAATAATTAAGAGAATAAACCAGTCATAGAAGTAATAATTCCAAAACCTCTTGTTCATCTTCCAGATTCACCTTTGATTAAGAAGCCAATAAAAAAATAACTGGATATTAGAGAAATAAATTTACTAGAGTCACAAATCATAGAATAATTATAATCAGAAATATCTGATTAATCTGAAATAAAGAAATTTGAAGAATTAATTCAAATACTCGAAAAAGAATCGACATAATTTTATAATAAAAAAGGTTCAATTGAAACATAATTAACATAGTCATTTATATAAGACGAAAATAATTTATAAAACTATTCATATAATTAAGACTTTATTGGAGTTAAAGTAAATAATAAAAATATTTGTGATATTGAGAATAAATATGATTTCTCTAAAATCAGAAAATTTACAGAGTATAAAGGAAGGATAACTATAGTGAGATTAATTTAAAAATAAAAATCAACTATTTGCACATATATAGGTAAAATAGATCAAAAATATTGTTGTGTCAAATTAATACCAATGGCAAAAAGAGTTGATATTGATAAATGGATAAATCGTGTTAAAATTGCATAATTATAATAAGGTGACTATAGATTTGATAATTCCTTTTAATTGTATTACTATTATAAAATTGAAACAATAATGGATGAACCATAATATTGTAATTGTTTCATTATTAGCAACTTAGAATAATATAATTTTTATACCTTTAGGTATTATAACTGATATATATAAATTAGTCGCCATCCATCAGTAACCATATCAGAAAAAGCATAAGTTGCTTTTGATATCATTCCAATTATTTAGGGTGCCTTAAAATCTAATTAGGAATTGAATTCAAATCAATCTGATTAAGAAAAAGTTTCAGAATTAATTTTTAAAAGAATGAAAACAGTGAAAAGAAATAATATTTTGATATCCAGATTATAAAATTAAGAACAAAAATTAAAAATATTACTTTCAGATTGGTAATTATTACTTCCAGAATTTGAACAAATTATTCCAAATAAATAATTGTAAGGAGAAGATTAGCTTATAGAAATAATGAGTTAAATAAATGAATCAGATTATAATAATTTATAAGAAGGAGCAAGTTTGACTGAATTGGTCCCTAAATATTTTTTGAAACTTTTATTTTTCAAATTAAACCTTGAGTATTTCTATTATAGATATTTAGGTTACTAAATGATGTAAATTTATAAGGATTTTTTAATGAAGCAGAATTTTAAAGTAAGTGTGAAATTTTAAGATAATTTGAAAATGATAATGAAAAAGTTTTACAGCAAAATATTGAACATTAAATTAAAGAAAGATAAAGTATTTAACAAAAACCAAACTAAATTGAATTTATGAATAAAAAGTCTTAATAAATGTGCAATTTATTTTAATTAAATCCTGATTAAAATAGGAAAACTATTTATGAAATTTATTTGATAATCAATAACTTAAAATGTGAAGGAATGCGATCCCATTTTAGAGATTATAATCAAACTATTTCCAATTAAAATAATGTTAATTAATAGAATTAATGAAATATAATTAAATCAATTTTAATTCATTTAGTTTTAGTTATTTTCTATAATTGCTAGATTATGCTACACTATTCAATTAAATATAATTAATATACCATAATATACTTAAGGATAATAAGCAAATCTTAAACATACTATTCATAATGAAATAAATCATATAATCTTTTTTAATACTTATCTTAAAATATTACTAAGCTAAGCCTATTATTTTTTTTTAAATGTGTTAATAATTAAAATTAAGAAAATAGCTTTACTTTATATAAATAAATTCTAAATAGTTTATTTAATTTATAATGTAAGTCTTAATAACTTGTATTTTATATTTAATTAAAACAATTTAAGCCTTCATATCTTGATTAACACCTTTAATTGTGATTTTTTTTTTATTTTAATAAATTTAAGAGTTTCAAATTTTAGATCTAATAAATGTAATTTTTATTTTTAACTTACAAAGAATAATAATCGAATTTATCAAGAATCAAGATAAATAATCATGTTCAAAATCTCTAAAGTTTATCATTAATTAAATTTCACTGTTTTTGCTCAGCAATTAATGCTTTAGTTAATAAAAATATTATGAAATATTAATATATAATTTTTATTTATTTAGAAATAACTTAATAATAGTCCGTCAGTTTTATGATGTAATAAAATTTTGGTGTGACAATTTTTAATTATAAAACCTTGTCATAAACTAGATGTACTTTTTATTAAAAAATTAATGAAGATTTTATTGATCACTTTTGGTCTTTTGGCTATAGTTTCATCTACTGCTACAGTAGCTATTTCATCAGTATATCAATGTTCATGCAAAAATGCAATGGTTTAAATAGATTGTTTAGCAGATTATTGTATTTGGGATTCTACATCAGGAACTTGTTCAAACAAATCATGCTCAGTATTCACCAAAGATGATTGTGAAGGTGTTCCTGATCCATTTAATTGTATTTGGAATTACACTACAACTAAGTGTGAAAGTTTTACCAAATGTTCTGATTATACTTTCACAATTGGTAATTCAGGTGATTGCAGTGACAAATTAATTCAATGTTAAGGTGATCTTGATACTATTGACAGTGCAGCAGGAACTCTTAAATGCAAAGATAGAACATAAGATGCTGTTTTAAGCATTGATAATTGTAATTTATTACCATATGCTAATTGCTTTTGGTTTGTAACTCCTGATGGTAAATAATGCTTATAGAACACAACAACATAAAAATGTGAGGCTTAATCAATAACTAAATGTTCTGATTATACTAAAGATAACTGTAATATCTTAGCTTGTTATATGAATAATAATGTATGTACTGAATTGACATGTGCTGTCTTGCCAGAAGAATCTTGCAGCATATTTCTATCTTATGACTCTAAATAAATGACATTTTGCACTTGGAATGGTAGTGCATGTGTTGATTTAAATGTCTCAACTTTGACTCAAGAATAATGTTTAGAAGCAACATACTTTACATATGGATGGAATACAGATACATAAAAATGTGAAATATGTGTAATTCCTGATACAGATTCTAGCTAATATATGATTCTATATGGATCAATTCTTATGGCAATTGTATTGTTATCATGAATTTTAAGTTTAAATAAGTGCATTATCATATAAACATATATTCAATTATTTCTTAGTATAAGTGAATGTTTGATTCTTGAAAATTCAAAAATACTAATCTCTTTTTTATTGGTCATATTCAGATAATAAAAAATCAAATAATTAACAAAAATCTACTCCTTAGTTTGTTATCACTTAATCATTTTATGATTAAATGATAACTTTCGATGCATAATGATATGCTTTTTACACAGCTGCCGATCTTCTAATAACATGAGATTTAAACATAAATTTAATACATATTTTATTTTTATAGACAACTCTTTAGTTTTCTCTAATAATTTCTTAAGTTTTTAAACAATTTTTTAATTTCTAAGAGAAGGCTGAATTTTGAAATATTAAATTAATATATTCTCTTACGATATTGATAATCCATATTCAAAATCAGATAATATATTTTGAAAATTCATAAAAATTCATAAAAGCTGTCTTTATTAGCAGTTAATATTAACTAACTATACTTCATTAAATAACTTAAAAAATTCTTTGTTTTTATGAGAAATAATCATAAAATAAATATGATTAATATAATCATTATAATAAATATTAGTTCCTATCAAATTTCTGGTTAATTATATTTTTGGCTTAATTATTATTATTAATAATATATTAATTAGTTTTATTTTAATTTTTCAAGTCGATTATTAACTTGATAATTATCAGTTATTATGCAATAGTCTTCTTATTTTTAATTCATAAAGTTGTTTTCAATAGTCTTCTAATTTTAATGTTTATGTAACTATTTATTTAAAGTATAATTGTTAAACAATTCATAAATGAAACTTTTCTTTTCATTATTGAATATCATTAGAAAAATGAATTCTTTAAATATTTTCATATAAACAAAAGATATATGAAATAATAAATATTATTGATTTATAAATTATCAACTTAAATAAATATATATGAATAATGATTAATAATTTTTTTACTATATAATAAAATATCAATTAAATAAGATATATTAATAAATAAATAAGTATCTTATTTGAATGAATATTATTATTTTCATAATTTCTCCTTATATTTTCTAAATTAAATCTCAGATGATTTCGAATCCCATGTTATCAAAAGATTTCCATCATCTCTCATAGTACCAAAAATCATATTTTAAACAAAAAATATGGCCTATTCTAAAATAATTTAGCAATCTGAAGGAGAATTAGTAGCTAAACTAATTAAATTCACATTGTGCCCATTTTTTGATAAAAGTATATTTTTAGATTTATTATAGTGTAAAGGAAAATAAAGTGAATTTCCTTTTCCTCCTGTTTAAATCTAAAATGAATTTTATTTTATGTATTCTCCATTTGTTTAATCCATAATATAAAATGTTAACAATGTTCCTTCAATAGATTAACAAACGAAAATTTCATCTGTTATGAATGATATACTAATACCATCATTATTAATCTTTTATTTTACTTACCATTATTATTAATAGGATTTATGAATGATTAAAATATAATTATCATTTCCACAAGATAACAATTTATTTCCTTCATCATTAATAGATAATCCATAAACATATGAAGTATGTTCTTTGATTGTTTATGAACAAGTCCAAGAATTTTAAAGAGTCAAAGACCAAAATTTAATAGTTTTGTCAGCAGATCCACTCACCATAAGATCTCCTGAAGATTAACTTATTAATAAACAATTAATAGCATAAGAATGATCTCTTAATTTAAATAAAGCATTCCAATTAATTTATTATTGATCAGGAGTCCAAATTATTATGGTAGAGTCTAAAGAGCCTGAGACAAGCGAATTCAACATCAATGATTCTTTTTTAAAGAAATTTAGAATTGTAACATGATTTTTGTGAATCCTTTATAAATTTTGTAATTATTGTGGTCTCTTTATTTAATTTAAAGATTAATTAATTTTTAAGATATTAATGTTACATTCTGAAGCTATTGCAATAAGAGTACTATTATAATTAATAGCCAAAGCTTGACATAGTTCTCCTTATTCAAATGTCAGTTTTGGGATAATTTCATATGAAAATGAGCTATTCACACTACATTCTTTTAATAAGGGATGTTATTTATACTATTATCCTGATAATTCTTATTCTAATGGTATTTATTTTTGCTTTGATATTGACTATAATATTTATTTTTCTGAAAAAGCCAAACCATCGTTTATATCATGTTGATCTAAGCTTACTACAATTTATTTCAATAATAATTGAAATTTACTATATCCTTGAAAATATTTGAATGGATCCAAATATTAATTTAATTATTTAACTTAAGTTGTGTTAAGAGTTATCAAATCAAAATAACATTATTTCTTTTCTAATTAATTTTTTGGCTGTTATTTAGTTATTATAAGATCTAATTAATCGAAGAAGTGATATCGAGCAATTTATTCTCCTCTTTCCTTAATATTAGTAATCCAATTGTTGACTATGGTAGTCATTTAATCTAGCTATTATAATATAATTGATTCCATTAAAGAGATATTACCATATAATTATTTAAGTAACTCTAGATGAGGGGCTATGATTTATTCATATGAGTTTAATTTCTATTTAATTGGTTTTTCTATAGTTTAGATCACATCTTTTAATGGACTAACAGGTAGATGAGTAATTTCTATGCAATTGTTACAAACAAATCTTTAATTTGAAGTCAGACCAGGTTGCATATTTACAGCACATATCGGCATACAATGATTTAAGAAGCATTAATAATCACAAAGATTCTCTATTGGTTTAGGATTGAACATTTTAAATAATATATATAAAATAAAATCATTAATTTGAAATTGAGAACATTAATATTTATTTAAAATAAGCTTATAAGATTGAATGTAAAGTAAATTTTTATTATTTGATTCTATATAAAATGAAGTAATTATATAAAATATATTTATTTTGAAATCCTCATAATAATTTATCTATGTATTTAAATATTGATTACTATTCTTAATTAATAATAATAGTCAAATTATCAATTACTATGATATTTCCATAATTATATTATATTAGAACACTAATCCAAAGTAGTTAATAATTCACCATCAGCACTCAGTTAACCTAAAAGATTATTACTTTTAAAAGGAATTTCTTTATGATATAAAATTTAACTTCCTTAAATTATTAAAATTAAATTAAGAAATGAACCAGTTTAATTGATTACTAATTATTTTTATTAATTGAACTACATTGGAAAAGTAGTTTATTCATCACAAACCTTATTAATTAATATTTTGGTTTAATATTCAATTTAATCACTATCTTAATTGATTTTAATTAATCTTAGTGATGCATCTTTAATTGATTAATAAAGGATAATGAAATCTGAAATAAAACAAAATGATGGTGTAAAGTCGTTGACATTTATTTATAATGAAATAAACCAATAATTTTTTGTTTTATTGTTTTGCTTTTTAATTAAAACTATTTTATGGTTAGATGTATATGTAGCTATTAATTATTAGTTAAGACTAAAATTTAATCCAAAAATTTAAATTTTATCAAAGCCCAATTTTTATTATAACAACCATTTTGAACTTTAAGACATCCAAAAGGAAATTTAGTTTTTTCCACCTGATATTATTAAGTTTTCCTATTTATTTATTAATATAAATTTCTACTCAACACTGTTATTAATAATTTAGTTGCACTGATATATTTAGCCGATCTCATCCCAAGTCCAAATAATTAATGATTTATCTAAAGATCCAGATATAAATGAATTAACACTTTAAAAAAATAATAATATACTCACATTCCTTGAATGATTATTCAATACCTATTATTAAGTAAATGCTAAATCATTTAATTTGAAGACTTTAATTTATTTATTCAATGCCACTATTAATATTTTCAATTGAATTTAAAGTGCTATTGCCTAATAATTTTCATTTTAGTAACAGGTAATTTACCTGAATACTTAATATTCTATAAAAAGAGGCTGATATTTTCCAATCACAATTTATTTATTTTTATTATCTTGACCCATAAAATATTCTCCTATTATTTATTTATCCTATTAATTACGTTGAAAATAGGATTAATTTTAAAATTCTTTGTTATCTTTTAAAGCTAAATATGGTTATTCTAAAAAAAATTCTAAATTCAAAAAATAATTGCTTTAATCTTAGTTACCCATTATTCTATTTTTATGATACTTTGTCAAAATGTATTCTAAATCATCATTAGATCCATATATCTAAATATCTCTTTTATAATTAAATTAATTATTTTATTTTTATTTAAATAGTATCCATTTCTTAATGTTTAATAATTTAACAGCAAATGTATTCTCACTAATAAAAATAATGTTACTAAATGAATTATATATTCGAATTTCTTAAACAACACCCCATATTTATTCCTCTCCTTTAATATTTTTTTCAATTATTACAATTTTCATATCATCTACTTAAGCTAGTATTTTATTTTCTTATTGATTTAAAATTATTTTCTAACAAGATTAGGCAATTTAAATTTATTGAATTGTATGCCATTAGAGTTATTGTTTTCTTTTTAAATGTAATTTACCATCAAAAAATCCTACTATCATCAAATCTTCTGATGAATTAAATAACATAACACTTATATTTTAATAAAATTTGAACATGCATAATACTTTATTGTAATTTAAACAATTTACACTCCATATTTTTAATTTGTTCATGGAATTTAAAGATGAATATGTTTGTGATTATTTAAAAAAATACAACCATATAATGTTGTCTAAGTCATTAAAATTTCCTATAAACTTATGTACTCCTTTTTTGAATTAATAAAATTGCTATAATCCTACACAAAGTGATATTACTAAAATAGATTATTTAGGATTTAATGTTATTTGTTGACAATTTCTTTTAAGTTAAATTGAACCAATTTCTTTGTATTTGAAAGGCTCAATCTTATTGTCGAAAAGGTTTGTATTCTAAAATTGCCAAGCATTCATGTTTTATAGTACAATATTTTAAATTGAAAAATATATTTGTATTATTGCTTATAATATGTAATTAAAAAAAGTGACATTCAATCCAGAAAATACTATTATTCCAAATTCAATCAGATTTGTTATCCTCTAAAATTTTATATACTCCCTTAGCTTTCTAATCTAGCAATATGATGTGTTTATAAATCAAAATATATCTTCTAAATTTCATGAAAATATAATTTGTCCTATTAATTATATAAGTTCATTTATAGGAATGATGAAAGGACCAAATGTTAATTATTATTTGGAAGAACATAGTATTATGTCTTCATTATATATCCCTTATACAAAACTGAAGTTTAAAATTAATTGCAAAATGCCTTATAATTTTATCTCAAATTTTTGCAAATAAATAATAAGTTTTGTTAAACTTGATCAGTTTAATTTTTTTAAGCTTACTCAGATTTCTGAATTCATCATGAAAGTAAATTAGAGTAACATATATTCATAAAAATACACAGTATAATTATTACTAAAAATTCCCTTGTATGGTAAATTCATAATATATAAATAAGAATCCATAAACTTATTTACAAATTAAATATATTTACTTTGAAATAGCGAATTAAATTTGATTTTTTTTTAAGACTGGGAATAATTGTTTATTATACAAATTATTTCTCTCAAATTAAAATTGGACTTATTTACCTAACTTCTATAAATGAATCCTCAATTAATTGATTTAACAAAAGAATTCAGTCATATTGCTATCTATTCTATAATTTAATGGAATATGGTTTTTATATTTATCATTTCATCTTCCATCAAATTACATTTATATCAAAAATAATCTTAACCTTAGTAATATTTTGAAGACACTATTTAAAAATGATAGCCTTGCTATATTCTTCTGGTGTTTAATAGGGTAACAATCATATTCGCCTATACTCTTCTTTTAAGAATTCCTTGATACTAAATTATCTAATTGTAATTTTACTTTTTTTTCTTTAAGATAATTTAATCTTTGAACATCTTAAATTTAAAAATTTATTTTATTATTTTGTTTTATTTAGTTTATATTTTCAAAATAGAATTTGATGGCATTTTCTTCCGAAATTTATCTGAAAACTACTGTAATATAAGTCATGTATAAAAAAATTATTTTATTTTTAATTATTAGTTTATTAAAATCCAAAATACAATTTACAAATCATCGAATGGAATCCTTTTTATAGGAATTTTCTTCAACTTATAATTCATAAAATCAAATGTTTTGATAATTAAATAAACAATAATTGTTGAGAATTTATAAAAATAAATTAATGAAATATATTTTTCAAATTTATATATAAATCAAACAACCTTTCGCCCAGAATTTTATTCTACGTTATCAGGGCTTTAGATTTATTTCAAATCATCTCTTGGAGACTAAATTGCAAATGATTGCTATTCTATTTTGGTATTGGGAAATGAGAACTCATTTTTTTTGATTTGACTTTATTATAAAATATTTAAATGTATAAGATTATTGACACTAAAGATGTCTGCGGATAATTATTGTTCAGTATCTTGTCTGTCTTTATCACTAATTTTATAAATAATATTTTTTGAAGATAGTTCTAAGCGTTTTAATCTAAATCAATAAATAATTATACTTTTTAAATTCTACAATCAAACGAGCTTGTGGCAATAAATATTCTCTCAATTTTGCAAATCTTTANTTACTAAAAATTCCCTTGTATGGTAAATTCATAATATATAAATAAGAATCCATAAACTTATTTACAAATTAAATATATTTACTTTGAAATAGCGAATTAAATTTGATTTTTTTTTAAGACTGGGAATAATTGTTTATTATACAAATTATTTCTCTCAAATTAAAATTGGACTTATTTACCTAACTTCTATAAATGAATCCTCAATTAATTGATTTAACAAAAGAATTCAGTCATATTGCTATCTATTCTATAATTTAATGGAATATGGTTTTTATATTTATCATTTCATCTTCCATCAAATTACATTTATATCAAAAATAATCTTAACCTTAGTAATATTTTGAAGACACTATTTAAAAATGATAGCCTTGCTATATTCTTCTGGTGTTTAATAGGGTAACAATCATATTCGCCTATACTCTTCTTTTAAGAATTCCTTGATACTAAATTATCTAATTGTAATTTTACTTTTTTTTCTTTAAGATAATTTAATCTTTGAACATCTTAAATTTAAAAATTTATTTTATTATTTTGTTTTATTTAGTTTATATTTTCAAAATAGAATTTGATGGCATTTTCTTCCGAAATTTATCTGAAAACTACTGTAATATAAGTCATGTATAAAAAAATTATTTTATTTTTAATTATTAGTTTATTAAAATCCAAAATACAATTTACAAATCATCGAATGGAATCCTTTTTATAGGAATTTTCTTCAACTTATAATTCATAAAATCAAATGTTTTGATAATTAAATAAACAATAATTGTTGAGAATTTATAAAAATAAATTAATGAAATATATTTTTCAAATTTATATATAAATCAAACAACCTTTCGCCCAGAATTTTATTCTACGTTATCAGGGCTTTAGATTTATTTCAAATCATCTCTTGGAGACTAAATTGCAAATGATTGCTATTCTATTTTGGTATTGGGAAATGAGAACTCATTTTTTTTGATTTGACTTTATTATAAAATATTTAAATGTATAAGATTATTGACACTAAAGATGTCTGCGGATAATTATTGTTCAGTATCTTGTCTGTCTTTATCACTAATTTTATAAATAATATTTTTTGAAGATAGTTCTAAGCGTTTTAATCTAAATCAATAAATAATTATACTTTTTAAATTCTACAATCAAACGAGCTTGTGGCAATAAATATTCTCTCAATTTTGCAAATCTTTACTTAATTCTTGATTATTAATTTTAATGAGTCTCAAAGAAATTCTTCAAATAAGGACGAGATTTCACAAAAATCGGAAATTATTTTTATATAAATTCTTTTAAAATATCTATTTTATCATAAAGTTTGTTAAAATAGGCAAATAAAATCTATACTAACATTCGAAAAATATAAAAGCCATTAAGAAATGCAATTATAATATAAAAAGGCCATACAATTTCATACAATTATTTTTATTATGCTGTATAAATAGAACTAGCCAAAATAATTGATACAGCACAAATTACAGTTGATTATGTATCAATTATATTTAATTATCCAGTCATATATGGTTTTTTTTTAATTGCTATAAAACTATAGCCAAATAACACAAGGAATACTAAAGATGCTTTTATGGGAACATGATCATCATAATAAGCTAATACAATAATAATTATTTCTTTTTGCATTATCTTTAATGTTTCCCAGAAATAGGCATGAATCCTATATTCATTATACAAATATCCCCATGTTTTTCTAACTTAAGAGAAATCTAGACGATCTTTATTTTTAAAGACTCCATACCACAAAAAACAAGGAAGTATACAACCAAATGTAATTAATAATGGTAAGCAAAATGTGATAATCCATTTAGCATGTTAAATTGTATCATATCTATAAGCCACATTCCCTTAAATCCAATATTCATCTGAAATCTTTCTATAAGATAATAGTGAAATTATTCCTCCTATTAAATTTGGCTATAAAAATATGAATAAATATATCAAAGATGTAGATATAAAAGAAAAATTAAATTTTGTTTGCTTAGTAATTATTGCAATTGCTAAAATAGTAAAAATAACTATTATATATGAAGATGTCATAATTAAACTCCAAATTATTCGAAAGTATATTATCAATATATCTGTTATATTAAATAAGAAACAATCTAAAGAATAAGCAAGTGATTCAATAGGATTACCAACAGTATTGACAACTGAAGCTAATCCTGCTGGTACTTGTAATTAAAAGGTAGAAATAGTTGAAATGATTTAAAGATAATTTGTGAATACTTTGATAAGAATAGCAGTTTGAGCTTCTTTTATTGCTACTCTAACTCCAAAAGCCTTCAAGCTTATACCTTTAACAAATTCCTCAATCATTTCTATAGTACTACTTACTGACATTAAAGTTGAAATCAAAGTCCAAAGACTTACAAATATTATTGTAATAACATTATAAGCTATTAAATCACAACTTCCACATGAATAAGCTGAACTTACAGAATAAGATCCACTTCCTCTTGAATTATATAAATCACACTCCTCACATAAAGCTCCAATATGTCCTAACATACATGATTCATCTCCAGGTTTCCAACCACCTTTGCAATTCTCCACCAAATGATAACAATGTTCAATAGTTTAACTATAATAATATGCTCTCCAATAATGCTCTCTTAATTCTATCATACTTGATTCCAAAGATTTTATTTTTGAATCATCTTTATAACTACAATTTTGTGCTGCCCAAGATACTTAATATTAATTTTAAAATGTATCACAAAGAACACATCCACCAGATGTTGAATTTAAGAATTCACCTAATTGACAAGGAAAAGTTTTTATGTCCACTTATAATTAATAATTTGTGATGTAATTATAAATTTAAAAAGGTGGACTCTCTTCATATAAAGGGACTGAAACACTATTACATTAAATTAACAATCGAAGAACTATATCTTGATTATAAGTAGGATTGAAGTAAATAATTAGATTATCTAAATTATAATCACCAGTAGTTTCATTAAATATAACATCATATTAGGATAGACTAAATTAGACATCATATTAATCTTTTTAAGAACTTAAATTATAAGCTTTTGGATATAAAGTACAATAAGAATCTTACAACCCCATAATTTATTCCTAAAACTTATCCAAAGCAATAATCCTAAATGTAAGATTATAAGGAATAAATTCTGATTTGATTGGATCAAAATACCTGTAATTGGCTATTGTTATACCAGAAGGTAATATTAATTAATAATTTTTCTTAGAGGAACCTAATATCTTATATGGATTAATAATTATTTATTCAATAATCTCTTTATCAGTAATTTTTATTTCTTTTTTCTCAAGTAATGTTTAACCTCCATTAATAGATAATGTTAATGATCTTGGTTTTTCTAAAGCATTAGATCCAAATAATGTTGAATTATTAGAATCCAATTATAAATCTAATTATTAAGTTAATTAGAGTGATTAAGAATCTAAATACATACCTCCTGCAATCTCTGCTTTATTTTCAATTATTTTTGAATCGAAAATATATAATTATTCTTACTATGATGAATAATAAATTGCACCTCCAATATCAGCAAAATTATTTTTAAAAATGCTATCTCTTATTATACTATTTATTTTAATTATCAAAAGTGGACCACCATATGAAGCAGAGTTATTTATAAATTTACTTTTTTCGATAATAATTTAATATTTCATGTTATTTAAAATATTTTCATAATTATGCTATTGTAGCATTCTATAATTTAATTCAGGATTTAAATTAATTAAATCATTTATATTTTTAGCTATTGAAATACAACCAGTTCTTCCACAAAGACTGTTTTTAATTAAAATTTACGAAAATTTAATGTTTTTTTCATCTTATTATTAGATTTCAACAATTCGAACCAATCCAAATTAACATTTAGTACATTGAACATTTTCAATTTCCATTTTCTCAATTATTAGTTTGTGTCCAACATTAATATGTTCTATTTCAATTAAACTAAAAGTAAATGATGGTTTATTGAAAATCTTAACCTAATTACAAATTAATTGATTTAAATAGTATTAATTATCAATATATTCTATAATTTAAGTATTTATATTAGTTAGATTGAGAGGACAATCTAATTAAAAAAGAAATCCTGTATTCATTAATAAACACTCTCTTTCCTCATTCTTTATAAATTGGTCTACTTAAGTTATTTAAAGATCAAATATTTAAATATTTCCAGAATATTCTATAAAAAATAATATTAATTATTACATTATCTTAAGTTTAATTAAATTAGAGGTGAAAATCCTAATGTGCAATTAGTAATCTTAATATTTGATAACATAATATTCTAAGCTTGTACAATTTTAAGCAATAATTACATATATATTGATTAAAAACTACAATTATATATACTAAAATTGCCAAATTAAATAAAAATTAAAGGATTTGATTAAATAATATTTAAAGCATCATCATCAGTAATACCATCTAAATATGAATAATAATTTTCCAGTCCTAATTTTGTTGAATAAAAATCTATATTTTTAAAAACAACCTAAGATTATACAGTATCTTTTTTGGAAAGAACATATGAGAAAAACTGATTAATAATCGAAAAACAATCCTTTACAATCAACTAGTCAAATTCTATTATATTATAGATTTCAGATGGATTTATATAAATTGCACCACCATCATATCTACTAAATGATGTATCAAATGTAACATTCATAATCTTTAAAGTCAATGCAGATTAACCAGCATCAATATAAAAACAACCACCTTTTGAAAAATATAAGGAAGATAGTGTTGTTTTAGTATTTGAAAATTATGAGTTAGTAATATTAATATAACTAATTCCAGTAGTAATTATATAAAAACCACCTCCAAAAATAGAAATAGAAGAATCTACTTTTACACTTTCGATGATTATTAAATTAGAGATTATCATACCATTCCCACTGCTTGATTTAATTGGAAATATTAATTAAAAATTAATTGGAGATATATCTTAAGTACTTGATAATATTGTATGTCTACTCAACATTGTATAATTAATAATGTTATTATTTTTAA